TCAGCGTTCCCTCTTCAGAAAAATATCCTGACCAGTCATCATTCATCACACACCGGACACAAATCACCCAGGAGACTCAGGGAATTCCAGCTTGTTAATCAAAAACCAAAGAAAGGACATACTGTATCCTATTTCACAAGGTTAGAGGCACTTATGCCAAATGGTAATGCAGTACAAGTAACTAAGTAATTAGTAGTATTTGAAAGCTCATTGGAAAATTCTGCTAGGCTTATACATGGAGGCAGGAGATCCAAAGCTAACAGGGGAAAGAGATCCATGCAAATTTTCCAGGTCATCTTGACATGAAAGGCAGTACTGTAACTTCTCTTTTGTGTTCAAACCTTGTCTCTGAGGTTTACTCTTAAACAAAGCAACTCCTTTACTTGTTAACTAGCTTTTCAAAACGAGGTGATCAGAGGCAGGACCTGAGCTAAAATAAACCGTTTCATTTGGTGGAAATAGCATTTTGCACAGTGTCAGGATCTGTAAAACCTAGAAAGCACGTTTCTCCAGTGGGCAGTCTTCAAAACAACTCATGGCTAATGCAGGATCTCTCTCCCCTCCATCCCTTCTGAGACCCCTCAAAACAGGTGCCGTTTTCCAGAGCTGCTGCAGGAGCCCCTTGCCCATAACCTGGTCTTGCATGAGAGGGCACCGAGCCAAGCCTCCAGAAGCCTCATCGCTTCCTTGATCCAGTCGCACACCATTAGACCGATCCACCACCTCAACTCAGCCTTGTCCACCTGGCTCTCGACCAAAGCCCTGGCCACCTGGCTGGGCCTCCACGTTGTCTGCTTGGTGTTGTGCCTCTTGGCCAAAGTGAAAGCTGCCCTCTCTCCAGATGCACTTACTGCCCCGGGGGACCACCTCCACTCACTTCACTAGACAGACCCCCTCTCCTTTGCCCACCACTTAGACCCCTCACCTTGCAACAAACCGCGGACCAGTTGGGTGGCGCTGGGCCATCGAGGGAGCACTCTGAAAGGGGGAAGAGAGACGGCTGGTCCTACATGCGTAACCCCTTGAAGAGTATTGCAGGGAAGACGGGTTCAATCGGATGATACGGTGTTTTTGATGCCGATTTGTGTTTGATGCTCAGCCCCTGGGAAGGCTGCCCATTTTTGCACATTACCTCGTGTTTTAAATATTTTTATAATAAAAGTTTAAGTAGTCAAAAGTCTCCCTCTCAAACAAGTACACCTGGTAACAGCCACTATCTAGAGGCCTGAAGAAGAACGCACGGCATCCAGAAGTCTATCCCAACCGTACAGATGGGCCAACAAAAGATGATCACGCACAGAAATCCTTGTCTCTTGTGCATTTCTTGGACCATCACAGCTACAACTTCACTCCAACATTATCACAGCCTAGATGTTTTCCTAAGTTGACCTACCACCTGCTATTTATGGTGCACTGGATAAATACCTAGGGCCCAATTCAAAAAAGCCTCTCGCAGCAAAAAGGTGCATGGTTAGGTCACAAAGAAGTCAGTGGGACTTAAGCATGTACCTGAAGTCAAGTTCTTTCCTGATGGCGGACGAAGGCTTAGAGAGGGCACTGAGTGTCGACACAGGTAGAGTTTAAAGCCTGTAAATTAGCAGATTTACCAAATTAGTAACTAGTAGCAATCTCCTTGTTCCAATAAAAAAGGCCAAAGGGCTGTAATGAATGTCAGTGGGACAACCAAGCCTTTGAAGTACAACCCGGTTTTGAGTAAGCCTTTGTCAGGGCTGCTGTGCTGATCCAGCACCTTGCCAGTGCCGTTAGGATGTCCGTTCCCAACTCACAGCCGTTCTTCCAGCCCTGTGCAGACCTGAGCTCTTGGATTTGAAAAAGACAGCCAACGCAGGAACTACAACACCACTGTGCTCAGCCAAACGTGTCAGCCTTCATAAGAAGCTCATTAAAAAATCAGCCTGTCTGAAAAAATGATCATCAAGCGAAGGAAATGCTCCTACAGACTGCAAGCTGTAGGCTTTATTTTTTTCTTTTTAATTCAGTCATTTATTAAGAGACTGTGGTATATTTAACTACATTTCAACCTGACACAGCTCTAATAATGAGCTGAAATCAGGATGTGTGACTGGTTGGTGAAAAACCACCAAGTAAAGAAACACTCACTAACACCAGTTAGCATTTTTGCTGCGGAATGTGCTGCCCTGCTCATTAGATTTCAGTTTCTTCCCAGATATTCTTCCTCAAAGGAAATAGTAAGGAAATTGGGAATAAAACAATGTTTAATGCATTCCACCTTGTTTTTCCAAAACTCCAAAGCAGGAGCAGCTGCGGCAGCTCGTCTGTTCAGGAACCGTGCAAACTGCACCTTCCTGAATTTAGCAAACAACATCTCAGGGATTTGCAACTGTGTGCATACACATGCGCACACATGGCATGGGAGACAAACACACTCCAATGCCATAAGGGAAGGAGGGACAATAATCAGTCTTCTGAGATACAGACTGAAGCCAAAATGGTGTTGCGAAGCTGAGGCTGGCAGGACAGATGCCACAGTTGGATGGACAATCTGTAATCTCTTTGGAGAGAGAGGTGATGCATCCGACACTCACACCTAGTGTCTCTAGTTTTAGAGAAGGGTGAGAATCTAAAATTGCAAACTTGCCATCACCCTCTCCCACAACCAGTCTCCCCAGTGCCAATCCTTCTGTCAGATCCAGGAGAGCGAATCGAACTGAACAGTCCAGGCCTCACGCTCATCTTCAACATTTAAGTGGCACAGAGCTGAGGGTCAAGAAAAATGTTATGATGAAGGCTAACCCGCGCCATTTCTGCAGAGGAGAATAATGTCTTGCTAGCCTCTCAGAGTGCTCTGAACATCAATCAGGTAGCTATGAAGGAGAACCAGCTGACAGTTTAAGATCTGCAGAAAGCTTCCAATAAGGTCCCTTACAAGAAGCTATTACAGATGTTAAGTATACACGGGGTCAGAGGTAAAGCAGTGTCACAAAGCCAATACTGGGTAGCAGACAGGAAAAATGCTGCATTTAACATGGGCTTTTCCATTACTGCAGAGGTTAGTGATGGGGAGTCAGGAGGGTTTGCATTAAGTCTCATGTTGGTCACCAATAACTTGGAAAAGGAGACGAACAGCAAAACATCAAAATACACAGACACAAAAAATAAGCTGGGTTAGTCAAGGCCAAAAATGTCCAAGAGGAACTTCAGAGACCCAAACAAGCTGAATGAATAAGCTGTAGGATGCCAAATGAACTTCAGTATCATATGAAGGCAAAATGAATGAATGTTGCAGGGCAAAATTTAAGGTACTGCTTGCATGGGCCTAAATCAAAACTATTTGCTAGAAAGCGAAGCCAGGACTTGAGTCTGCAGTTAAAGGGAGAAAAATGTTAGGCTGCACAGTGAAGGGGCTGGAGAAAAGCAACAAAGAGAACATTATAACATCATTATGCAAGTCAGCGACACAGCCTAATCTGGAATAATGCATGCCATACTGGCCATCTCATCTCACAAAGGATATTACAGAATTGAAGTGGTTTAGGAAAGGGAGATGAGAGTAATCAAGGGCCTGAAAAACTCAAGACTGAAAAGATCAAGACAGTGCATCCTAGAAAGGACACAAAGAAGAGCAGGCATGATAAAAAGGCATATAAAACAACAACCAGTGCAACACTCCCAGCTTCTGCTCTTGCTGCATCAGGACAGAAGATCAAAGGCTATTCAATTAAAAGGTTGCAAATGTAGAAAGAAGTGCTTTTTTCACACATCATACTACTAACGCTCTCAGTGCTAGTCCTTGTCAGCAACAGAGTAAGCGTCCTAGGCAATTCCTATGCTCCCATAATTCCAGACATTTGGAAAGAAGATCCAGAAATTCCCCTAAATCTCTCCTCGTTGTAAATACTACAGGTTTTTATGGATACTGCAACTGCAAACTTTCTTTCTTCCCCAAAGCAGCACTAGTCTATTAGCAATCTAATTATTCTACCTGCGCAGCACAAATAAAAGCTTTCTAAGCATTTTCTCTCATACATACAAAGCAAAAGCTTTGCTGTTTTTTTTTAAAGCCTTTATTTGATTGGGGAATAAAAACAAGCTGGAAGTGAACAAAAGAACGTGTTAACAGAAGCCATGGGCCATTAAACCTAAAAATAGCCAGCATGTTATAGGATTTCTGAGATGCACACAAAGTATACACTGAAATGTTGGTCTAAGTTGATCCCTGCCCTTTGAAGACCTAAGGAAAAAGATCCCTTGTCTATTTTAACGTGTTACTTTTCTAAGATGTATACACACACACAAAATGTGCTCAGCGGACAGAGCCTAGCTTATCTCAAGGAATGCCACAATGGGACAACAGGTGCAAGCTCATCACCATCTCCTTCCATGACGTGGGGCAAGGCTGTTAACCTCAACCCACCAACTGTGCTAGAGGTCCTCTCAAGGGTGGGGTTACGGAGTTTTACCTATGATGCGTCACATTTTGGGAAACAAGACATATTTTCAGGTATTTAAGGCACAGTATGAATACTGATATTTCAAATCTTTCGAATTGCGGCATGTCAGCCCCAAAGTGCATATTACACCATCAGTGAAACTCTCCATGGCATAGCTCTGGATACCAGCTTTAAGGTTTACTGCACGTGCCCCTTGGTAATGGCAGTTTGCTTGAAGTCGAGCAGCATTAACTTTGCTCTCAGCAATGGGCTGACGGCCCTTCACACGACTTTTTTCTCTATTCCTTTGCGATACAGAGTTCACAATGGTTATCAAAATAGATCAGTCCAAGTTTTATGTTCTACAGTAACCCAAGTCTACAGCACCGCTGTGCTCCAGAAACCACTAGAAAGGCGGGTTGCTCAGAAGTGAGCTAACTGTGCTTCCCTTAAAGAAAATAAAGAGTTACAAGAAGGGCAGACACCTGACAGTTCCACAGGAACCTCCTGTTTTCATTTTAAAATTAACTTAATTACAGGAACAGAGACCTTGTTCAGCAAAAAACCCACACATCTCTAAAGTCATACCACTAAATAGCCACTCTGCCTCCCTCATCAGCTTGAGTAAAAAGGAGTTCCTCCAGGAAGACAAGCTGATCTTTGGAAAGGTTGCCTTGTTAATCATCTCTCCCCCTCTCACTGCAGCAGCTGTCGTTACTTGCCTGTGAAGGAGTTAAAATAAAATTTCTTGTTAATCCTCCTCTTAACATTACTGCGATCCAACAAAAACTTTTTCTAATTACCACGCATCGCTGAGACTTTGCTCTACTGTAGCGATGGATGAATCAGTTAGACCCAGCCTTAAGAATACATGGAGTTTGGTACATCCATTTGCAGGTTTACTGGTAGCACATTTCAGACGGTAATTTTATCATCACCTCTTTCCAACAAACAGAGAACTTAAAAACAAAAACAGCACATTGTACCCACCTCTCCAAGCAAGGTACTTAGTCATGTGTGGGAGGTTTTTTCCACCTTAAAAACTTACTCTCAAGACACTCCAATTTCCACAAAAATAAAATAGAGGCAGATATTGGTCCTCTTCCTTTATTATATAATCTCTTTTCAGTGACCGTTCTGCACTGAAGTTACTAACAAACACATAAAGCAGGAATTTTCAAACGCTTGGGATTTGTTTAACCCAGGGATGGGCAAAATGTGGCCCACGGGCCGCATGCAGCCAGCCAGGCCATTTTATCCAGTCCGTGAGGCCCCTAAATTTTAGAAAATTAATATTTATCTGCCCCTGGCTGCCTGTCATGCAGCCCTTGATGGCTCACCAAAACTCAGCAAGCAGCCCTCCACCTGAAATAATTGCCCGCCCCTGGTATAACCAATAGTGTGTAAAGCTGATGCCATGTTTGAGAACCTTGAAGAACTTTAGGAAAGTTGGAAAAACATTTTGTTGATGAGAAATTAAGCACAGGTTAGTTAGGGCACTTGGCCCCATGTCAACTGAAAGGCTTTGCCAGAGACTAACAGAAAAGCAGGATGAAAGTCGGCTTTTTCAGGAAAGCCGACTTTGACAAGCTCAGGAGGCTTGTCAGTGAGGCCCTACGGGACCGTGACCACAGGGAGAGGGGAGTTCAAGAGGAGTGGTTGCTCCTCAAGGGAGCGATCCTCAATGCACAAACTAAGTCTATTCCATCTCGGAGGAAAGGCAGCAAGAGGGCACAGCAGCCCTCCTGGCTCTCCAGGGACCTAGCAGATCTCCTGAGGCTAAAAAGAAAGGCCTACAAAGGGTGGAGGATGGGAGTCACCTCCAAGGAGGATTATTCTGCACTGGTCCGGTCCTGTAGGGAGCAGACCAGGAAAGCCAAGGCCGCAACTGAACTCCAGCTAGCTTTGAGCATCAAGGACAATAAGAAGTCCTTTTTCAGATATGTGGGGAGCCGGAGGAAAAGCAGGGGCAACATTGGACCCCTGCTGGACCAGATGGGGCAACTGACAACTGACGCCCAGGAAAAAGCCAACCTATTAAATAGGTACTTTGCGTCAGTCTTTCATCAGTCCCATGGGACGCCCATGCCCGCTACAGGGCCGGGAAGTCCGGGTGAGGGTGATCCCCTGCCCTCCATTAATGCTGACTTTGTGAAGGAACATCTTGAGAAGCTGGATACCTTCAAGTCAGCTGGCCCTGACAATCTTCCCCCCAGGGTACTCAAGGAGCTGGCGAGCATCATAGCCCAGCCTCTAGCATAAATCCATTTCTAGTAACAGACTTTCTCACGCACCCTACCCACTACATTCACGTTTCTCCACTTAGCCCACCTTGGCATCCTTCTGAACCCTGTTATTTTTCAAAACTATTTGGAGAATAGAGAGTGAGTTCTGAATGCCAGCAAGCAACTCTGCCTCTACTGAACCAAGCGGAGAAAGCAGTTGCACTTGAATTTCCCAATTGCCAATTCTCCTTTTTCCTTTCTAACACCAGAATGGAAAGAGCTTTTAGCAAAACTCTCTCTCTAACTTTAGCGGCTGCTCCAGTACCATATAAGGAGACGGGCCATTTCCAAGATCCAAAATATTGAGGGTTTCAGGAGGTTGAGAAAATGGCGAGTTCATATTTATACAGAAACAAGTGGTATGTCAATCCAAATCACAGAACCCGTGCAAAATGCACTCTCTGACAGGAACGCCGCTAAGCAGCGGCGTTCAGCGCCTCGTTTTTAGGCAATCGTCAGGTAAAGCTCCATCTAGAATAGATTGAACTAAAGCAAGATGACAGGAACTGGGAACCCCCAAATCCGAAAGAAATAGCTTTAGGGATGAAAAAGGAGAGTGTGTAAATAGCAAAAGTAGAGGTACCACATTTTGGAGCCAATTGCTTTAGAGAATAAGTGTGTTTTTAAAAACGGATTAAAATAGATTTCTGCAATGGAGGAGCAGGGAGTGCACAAACATTTTTATTTTTGCTCTCAAGCAAATCCCGGGACGTCATTCTCCCCCTGTACTCGGCCTTAGTGAGGCCGCAGCTGGAGTACTGTGTCCAGTTTTGGGCTCCACAATTCAAAAAGGATGTGGAGAAGCTTGAGAGAGTCCAGAGAAGAGCCACGCGCATGATCAGAGGTCAGGGAAACAGACCCTATGATGACAGGCTGAGAGCCGTGGGGCTCTTTAGCCTGAAAAAGCGCAGGCTCAGGGGTGATCTGATGGCCACCTACAAGTTTATCAGGGGTGACCACCAGCATCTGGGGGAACGTTTGTTCACCAGAGCGCCCCAAGGGATGACGAGGTCGAATGGTCACAAACTACTTCAAGATCGTTTCAGGCTGGACATAAGGAAGAACTTCTTTACTGTCCGAGCCCCCAAGGTCTGGAACAGCCTGCCACCGGAGGTGGTTCAAGCGCCTTCATTGAACACCTTCAAGATGAAACTGGATGCTTATCTTGCTGGGATCCTATGACCCCAGCTGACTTCCTGCCCTTTGGGCGGGGGGCTGGACTCGATGATCTTCTAAGGTCCCTTCCAGCCCTGATGTCTATGAAATCTATGAAATACTGGCTCCACTGAGGTTATTAGGAGCTAATTTCAATAGAGTCAAGATTATACCCAGCCCAGAAGTCATTTGCAATGCATCCAAGAACGCACCCCCAGGGAGGGATGTTCAGAGTGGCCCCACTAGACACCAACTCTGCTGCTGGCTGTTCCCGTAAGTTGAATTTCTTGTCTATGCAGAGACAATACAGAGGCAAGCAGTTTACAGTTTCTCTATTGTATTCGAGTCTGGTCACATGCAGAATTGTGCTGGTGGGTAGAGAAAACAATTCTGCTTTTAAACCACTAGCCACTGATCCTGGGGTGAGCAGAAAGAATTGCATTTTGTTTTTGTCATTGAAAGTAACTTGCAGGGTGCCCAGAGACATTGCGTGGGCATCTTTTATACCATGTAAAAAAAAATTAAAATAAAGTCAATGGACACAGCATGAAGAGTTGGAACATCCATTTACCCAGGTGTGAGCCTGCTACCCCAGTGTCCCATGGCTTAGACTTGGTTCTTCCCAGAAAAAACACACAAGGCATTACCACTGAAAGCATAAAACTTAAGACTGTTGGATCCAGGTGCACATGCTGTATTAAGTCTGTCACTATTTTCATGCTGAGATAATTCTTCCTGGGGAGAAAAGCACAGAGAAAGACACAGGCTGCTGCAACAGCAGATTAGCTTTCTCCTCACCCCTAATCAGCAGCTAAGAGACTATGGGAAAGCGATATAGAAGTAATGGAGACTGTCCCATCTCACAGCAGGCAGATGGCTTTAGAAATAAGAGAAGAAACAAGGTTTCTTTAGGTTTATCAGATACCACTAGGCTAGATGGAGAAGAAGATG